AGATTAGATTTAAAATTTCTGGCGTTTTTAACTTTTTGAGACAATTCTTTTAGACGGCATTTATAATTCTTTAGTTTTGAAACGTTACATCTGAGTTTTTGTTTTAATGCAATTTTACGAGGAGTATATTGTGCATCTGGTAAATCTGAAAGTTCATTTGCAAAAGAGTTATCTAGATTTTCTTTAGGTCGTTTTTTTTTTGAGAATTTGAATCTGACATTTCAGGACTACAAAGTGGAAGTATATGTCTATTTTGGTAAGTTCGTTTTGGCGTTAAAACCTTTAAAGCTTCATAGACTTTTGGAACTGCATCTTTTTTTAAGTAAAATTTTTTTTCAGTCCTATAATCTTCGTCTGTAAAATGATTCTCGCACAGGTATTTATTTCGAATATCTTCAGGAGCTAGTCCAGCGAGTGAAGGATTTCCTTAAAAAAAAAAAAAATATATAACAATAGTTTTTCTTTTTCAAACTCTAAAAACCCTTATAGTAGAGCCTGTGTTTTTTTTTTAATGGCATGTTTTATTATAAAATATTCATTCATGCATATTTTTAACGACCTCTTTATGGTCGTCTCCCATCAGGGAGATTTTTGGTTATAGAATCCCCTTTCAAATAAAGTCCTGCCAGGTAATTTTCTGACATCCTGTATAAACATCTGATTTTTTTCGTAAATCTAGGGTAATATTTAAAAGAGGCCCTTTAACCAACCACCGGTCAAATGATTGTTAATTCTTCCGCAAAAAAATGGGATATGAAAATTTCAATATACAAAAGAATACCTAACTTACCGCAATTAATAATCCACTGTTTACACAGATCTTCATTTTTAAATGGAAATCTAAATAATCGCCGTTGAGAATTACGTCGGCTAACACCGCAATTGTAATATTGGCAAATATTTCCAGATATTTTTAAAATAAGTGTTTTCAAATTTATACAGCTGCCACCGGATCGGATTGATCGCCTAGACGCTTAATTAAAAATAAACATATTGTGAACTTCCGAATTCCTCTTGGCACGCGTCTGGCGTCCATCTCCCCACGGACGCCGGCTTATCGCCGCTGAACCAAAAGCACCTAGCACCTACAACAGCGACAACTCGGCAACAGTGGGCAATAAACTCTAACCAGCGTCCACCCCGGCTAAAGCCGGCGTCCATCGAGGTCTCAAATTTTAGAATACGGACGAGACTTCTAGAGACGGTTAGTCTATAATATTCTTTGGTCCGAGTTATATTGTATATTATTTCATGCAGCATAATGCAAATGCGGCAACTAAACGGTAAACAGCAAAAACATCAAATATTGCCCCTTTGGATTCTTTGAAATATGATTTGATTTTTATGCACAGTTTATCTGATTTTACTGGATTGATTAAAGATTATGGTACATAACAGGTATGATATTCAAGCAAGAGTTATGTGGGATTTATTTTCTGTCGCATTCTTCTTAGATTTCGTTGACAATTTGCGTATTAAGTGATCAGCCACAGTTTGTGCAACAGCTAAGTTTATTCTTGTTCTCGTCGTAGAATTTGCGGATTTATCAAATTTAAAGATATTTTCGTCTTTTTTGATAAAAAAAATTGATTGGGTAGTTTTGTTATAATCGTTATGGGAACCAGTAGTTTTATTAGTAGGTACCTATCATGGGCGCCCGGCGGGGGGGGCAGGGGGGGGTCATCTGCCCCCCCTGGCTTTTAATATAAATACTTAAAAATAAAAGAGAAAAAAAAAATAATTAGGTATTTCCATTTTTATTTTTTTTAATTTGAATTCATCGATCATTGATGAATGAATTGGTTAATAAAGATTTTTTTCTACTACCGTGCGTAAAGTACTCACTTTACACACTGTTCAGAAGACGTAAAATTTCACTTCACGCACTAATGTGTAAAGTAATTCACTTCACACACTAGTGCGTAAGGTAATGTCAATGGCAGATGTCGACAACTGTCAATTTGGTATTTTTCTGGTAAATTACTTCACGCACTAGTGCGTAAAGTGAAAATACTTCACGCACTAGTGCGTAAAGTATTTACCCAAAATTACTTTTTTACACATATTTTATTGGTAGTAGAAAAAATGTTGTATGCAATACGTGTGTAAAGCACCTTTTTTCACTCATGTGATTGTCGCACTCACCTTCGGCTCGTGCGTCAAACTTCACATTTGTGAAAAAAGGTTCACTTTACACACTTGTTGCATAAATAACTATTATGAAGAAGTTATTAATAGGTTTGGGAGAGACTCAAGAAGATTGCAATTTGCATTTACCTAGTCGGAAAAATGTATTTCTTTTAATTTGGAATATTTCATTTACGTTGTGTTGTTTTAGTTTTGATTACATTTTTTTTAATTTTTTTCCCACAAGGAAAAGTAATTTGTGCACCTATCAAAAGATACAGAGAATTAACTTTTTTTTCCGTCCGAAATAAAAGTATTTCCAAATTGTTTTATTTTTTAATGTTTATTATATTAGTTACAATTAGCAAAATTTGGGTGTGGCCCAAAAAAAAAATTCCGCCTGCGGTGCGCTTTCCACGATTCCCCCAAGAGCAGTTTATTTGCCCCCCCTGTGACAAATTCTGCGGGCGCCGTTGGTACCTATTGGTATAATATACCAATAGGTACCAACGGTTATGGTTTCGAAGAATTTAGAATTAGATTCTAAATATGTTGTAATGGTTCTGGTTAATGGGAAAGTGATCTAACTCCTTTAAACACGAATTAAAACACACAATGGAAACATTGGTGGGATATTCTATTCAACATATCCAAAGATGAAATGCCCAGGGTGGGGATGAAGGGGGTAAATTCAACCCTCAAAATTGAAAGCAAAGTCTAACTTCTATAAAAAAAGTTGTTATTCCACCAAAATCGGTGGAAAAATTGTTTGGGATATTCTATTTAACATATCCAAAGATGAATTGTCCAGCTCGGGGATGGTAAATTGAACCTTCAAAATTGAGAAAAAAGTACTATAAAATTTTTTGTTACACCATTAAACTAGGTGTAAAAATTGTGTCAGATATTCTATTTAACATATCCAAACATGGAGTATTTAGGGCGAGGATGAAGGGGTTAAATTCAATCCTCAAAATTGAAAGCAAAGTCTAATTTCTATAAAAACACCAAACTCGGTGAAAACATTAGTTGGGATATTTTATTCAACATATTGTTATGTACCAGTCCATTTTCAGTTATTTTTTAGGTATTTTTCCACTGATTTCAAAGTTCACTCTCTATCTATTCTATTTATTTGCCTTCTTTCAGAAACCCTTAAACAAAAACAACATTAAATTTTAGTCTTCTTAAAATAATTACTACTTAATGCGGTAAACATAATTATTAATCTCTAACATTTTTATAGGATATTAAGTAGGTAATTCGGGACATAAATAGGGCATTATTAGAAGAGCAAAGTAGTTAGTACATTCACGTTTCCTCGAATAGGTTTAAGTACTGTATTTGAAATATAGAATTAAAGTCAACAAACGAAGTTTCCCTACAAAGGACCACAACAATATCCAAAGATGAAGTGTCAAGGTCGAGGATGAAGGGGCTAAATTCAACCCTCAAAATTGAAAAAAAATCCAGCTTCTATAAAAAATTTTGTTACACCACGAAACTCGGTGGAAACATTGGTTGGGATATTCTATTCAACATATCCAAAGACGAAGTGTCCAGGTCGGGAATCAAGGGGCTAATTTCAACCCTGAAAGTTGAAAAAAAAAATCTAACTTCTATAAAAATTTTTGTTACACCACCAAACTCGGGAGAAAAATTGTTCGGGATATTCTATTTAACATATCTGAAGATAATGTGTCCAGGGCGGAGATGAAGGGGTAAATTCAACCCTCCAAATTGAGAAAAAATTCTTACTTCTATAAAAAAATTTGTTACACCACCAAACTCGGTGGAAAAATTATTTGGGATATTCTATTTAACATATCCAAAGATGGTGTGTCCAGGTCACTAGAGTCTAGCCATCACATGTGGAGCAACTGCGATTGTAGCCGAAAGCCGAGCCGAGCGCATTGAATTCGAAGAAAGCAAAAGATTGTTGACTGAAGTACTTTAATACATTGCTAAAAAAAAAACAAAAAATGTTGATATTTAATTAGAGCCCTCTCAAATTGGAAATCAGGAGGAACCCAACAGCAAAAATAAACTTAAAATCAATATTAATCATTTCCTCTGTGGAGTAATTGGTACCTTTTTTCGCTTATTTGTAACTAAGGGGAGTAGTTCGGATGAGTAGTTCATTTTGTTTTCGTTTTGAAGTGCTCAATACTGGGTTTATAGGCAGTCTGTTCTACCGCCCTAGCACCCTATAACTGTCCACATTATTAACGTTCATTAAGATTGAATCGATTTTTTTTTCTAGATCATCCGAAATATTTGAACGCGATAATTCGCCGGCTGACACCTCTCTAGAAATAATAAAATATAAGTAGGACAAAAATAAACCATAAAAAAAGACTAAATCCGAACTACAAAAAATGAAATATTTTAACAAATAATTATTTCTTATAAAATGGACCTGTAATTTTGTTTTGATAAAAATGAGAATGGTTAAAGACACGATAGAAATAACGATTAAAAATTCTGTTCTCGATTTTCTATGCACCAGAGTTCGCTGTTCGGCTATTATCGGGTTTGCTCCGGCTGTGACGGCTAGACTCTAGTGTCCAGGTCGGGGATGAAGGGTAAATTCAATGCTCAAAATTGAAAAAAAAATCTAACTTCTATAAAAAATTTTGTTACACCACCAAACCCGGTGGAAACATTGATTGGGATATTCTATTTAACATATCCAAAGATGAAGTGTCCAGGGCGGAGATCAAGGATCAAGGGGGTAAATTTAACACTCAAAATTGAAAAAAAAAAAAATCTAACTTCTATAAAAAAATTTATTACACCACCAAACTCGGTGGAAAAATTGTTTGGTATATTCTATTTAACATATCCAAAGATGAAGTGTCCAAGACGGAGATAAAGGGGTAAATTCAACCCCCAAAATTGAAAAAAAAAATCTAACTTCTATGAAAATTTTTATTACACCACCAAACTTGGGAAACATTGGTTGGGATATTCTATTCAACATATCCAAAGATGAAGGGTCCAGGGCGGGGATGAAGGGGGTAAATTCAACCCTCAAAATCGAGAAAAGAGTCTAACTTCTATAAAAAAAATTTATTACACCACCAAACTCGGTGGAAACATTGGTTGGGCTATTCTATTTAACATATCCAAAGATGAAGTGTCCACGGCGGGGATGAAGGAGGTAAATTCAACCATCAAAATTGAGAAAAATGTCTAAATTCTATAAACATTTCCGTTACAACACTAAACTCGGTGGAAAAATTATTTGGGATATTCTATTTAACATATCTAAAGATGAAGTGTCCAGGTCAGGATGAAGGGGGTAAATTCAACCCTCAAAATTAAGAAAAAAGACTAATCTCCATAAAAATGTTCGTTCCATCACAAAACTCGGTGGAAAAATTGTTTGGGATATTCTATTTAACGCTTTCAAAGATGAAGTGTCGAGAGCGGGGATGAAGGGGATAAATTCAACTCTCAAAATAGAAAGCAAAGTCTTGTATAAAAATTTTTGTTACACCACCAAACACGGTGGAAAAATTCTTTAGGATATTCTTTTTAACATATCCAAAGATTAACTGTCCAGGGCGGGAATGATGGGGGTAAAATCAACCCTCAAAATTGAAAAAAAAAATCTAACTTCTTTAAAAGATTTTGTTACACCACCACTATTTTGAGGGGTTGAATTTACTCCCTCCATCCCCGCCCTGGACATTTCATCTTTGGATATGTTAAATAGAATATCCCAACCAATGTTTCCACCGAGTTTGGTGGTGTAACAACATTTTTTATAGAAGTTAGATTTTTTTTTTCAATTTTGAGGTTTGAATTTACCCTCTTGATCCTCGCCCTGGACACTTCATCTTTGGATATGTTAAATAGAATATCCCAACCGATTTCCGATTTTTCCACCGAGATTGGTGGTGTAACAAAATTTTTTTATAGAAGTTAGACTTTACTTTCAATTTTGATTTGATTTTACCTCCTTCATCCCCGCACTGGACACTTCATCTTTGGATATGTTGAATAGAATATCCCAAACAACTTTTCCACCTAGTTTGGTGGTGTAACAAAAATTTTTATACAAGACTTTGCTTTCTATTTTGAGAGTTGAATTTATCCCCTTCATCTCCGCTCTCGACACTTCATCTTTGGAAGCGTTAAATAGAATATCCCAAACAATTTTTCCACCGAGTTTTGTGATGTAACAACATTTTATAGAAGTTAGACTTTTTTATCAATTTTGAGGGTTGAGTTTACCCCTTCATCCCCGCCCTAGACACCTTATCTTTGGATATGTTGAATAGAATATCCCGAATAATTTTTTCACAAAACATTGACCGTATTCCGGTCACAGGGCTTCGGAGTCGCGCGCATCACATTATCAGTTCTAGCCAGCGTTCTACAGATGATCACCAATCAGCTGATTATTTGTTTATTTTTTCTTAAGTTTTAGGCCCCAAATTATATTATCGTAATCTGAAAATATGTACTTTCTGCCCTGCCCTTTGAAAAAATAAAATTCAGGTTTTACGGTTCATGTTCATTTTTTGAAAACCCTAATTTCGGATTTTTTAAATTTTAGTGTTTTTGATTCAATTTTTTTTTGCACGAATAGCTTCTTTTTTTTAGACAGAAAACGCAGACTAACCCAAACTAACCTGTCCATCTAGTGGAATCTAGTCCTCATAAGTTACTATTTTATAATAAAAAAAAACAAGTTAATTTAGCGCTTGGTTTTTTACATAAAATGCTAATTTACAAAGACATAGGTAACACTAGAAGGTCGGTTATTTTGGGTAAGTCTGCATTTTCTATCTAGAAGGCCTCAAGGCCTATTCCAAATTGAACATATAGAGAATCTGTGATAAAGAGTTTATATTATCAATTGACCAATCTTGAATCTAGTGGAGATATTCCGTGCGCCAATCGCCGACCTTTAAAAAATAAAGTAAACGTCTGCCACTTGCGGATTTATATAAAATATGTAGTTTCACTACTCGCGGATCTTGTTTTGTTTGTTGTTTGTAAAATTGGATCCAGTTCCTGATCCCTTTAATGTTTATAGATGAAAAAATCTCCTAGTGGAAAGGAAGATATGAAGAGTTACACCAATATCATAACTAGCATAACAATACAAGCAAAGAAGTTAATGGTTAGAACATTTGGACTGCCAACGTGCCAACACCTCTCAACTTTTGTGTAATTATTTTTGAAGCTCAACATAAAGATTACGATATCAAGCTTTAAACATAAACAAGAACAAATAATCAGCTGCTGGAACTGACAAACAAAGAAGTGAAGAGGATGCGCGCGACTCCGAAGCTCTGTGACCGGGATACGGCTAATGCTTGTAATTTTTTCACCGAGTTTGATGGTGTAACAAAATTTTTTTATAGAAGTTAGACTTTGCTTTGAATTTTGAGGGTTGAATTTACTCCCTTCATCCCCGCCCTGGACTCAACACATCATTTTTTGATATGTCAATGAAAACAAAGCATCGGCAGTGCTAAATTATAAAATAATTTTTATATGCTGCACTACTTATCTGGACGACTGTAAAAACATGATTTTTGTTTCTGATGCCGTTGCTAACTTCAGCCGCATGCCGACAACGCCCATCATATCAGCACGCTTACTTCACTGTTACATAATTATTTCCTAAAAAAACTACCAATCGAGTTTGGTAAATCATTCGTAAATAGAAATGGAAATGCATAGATTATTTTGAATACGTAAGTAATTAATAGAGAAAAAAATGGAACGATGAAGTTTGCAACACCTATAAAGTAAAAATGTATACGCGTCGTGGAAAAAGAACCAAATCGAGAGAGGAAGTGTAACACAACACAAAATTTATTTTTCTACGCGCAAAGTACCTAATAACTTTGCACACTCATTGCACTTTGCGCACTGAAACTCTTTGCGCACGGAAACTCTTCACTCACTCCTCAAAATCTAAATTTCCCATTTTATGAATAGGAAAAGTCTGTTACGGTAATGGAAAAAATTAAAATACTAGTTCTTTTTGGTTAAAGCTATGCCAATTTTTTTTAAAATATTTATATTTTTTTGAAGAATGCTGTGAAGAATTTGTGAATTTGAGTTTGAATTTGTATGTAACTGATTTCCCTTTTTTCTGAAAGTATGTAAAACAATGCTCTATAGTTAATTCACAACTTCTAAGACACTCCGTAGAAAAAATATTGTTCCCACCACTTGCGCAAAGTGTCTTTCCCGCACTTAAAGCTTATCCGAACTCCGCTTCGCGTCGTTCGTCTAGCTGCTTTTTCGTGCGGGAAAGTATCACTTTGCGCACTTGTTAGGAAAATAACTATTTTCTACAACTGTCAAAAAAAAAAATGATGTTTGCACACTGATGACAATTTTCGAAGTGACACTTTTTTTCCCAGGTATGGATTTTTTAACGTTCCCATGACGCCGTGTGCGAAATGCTTCTCCACTGTGCGAAATGCCAAAAATAATTAAAATTCGCCTGCCTTTGATTGTAAATGCAATTTTAGCTTCGAATGATCGATATTTGAATGAAGTTGTAAAAAAAATATTGTTTGCAACTCGTGCGCGAAATACTTTGGTGATCCCGACTATTTTTACTAAATCAGTTCTCGATCACCAAAGTAGCATTTCGCGCACTAGATACAAAAATAACTATTCATATTTAACTGTAACGTTGCATTTAACATTGAACAAGTCAAGTGGTAAGCGAAAAGATTGCGTTCAGCTGGCGCCCGAAAGTCGGCAGAACGCGTGTTGCCATTCCTGGCAACTTTTTGCCTTCGCTAGGAAATGAGGATTTTTCAAAAGAGGTTCATTTTTCTACTTCGGGGCATTGTTAATGGATAGATAAATTAAATGTTAAATTCATGAGAACCATATAAGATTTAAACATTCTAAAAATAAATTAATAAATTTGTTCCTAGTGTTGTGTACTGTGTATTAAATCTAGAATGCCTAGGCTTTTCCAGATGATTCTGTTTTTTGATTTTTGAACATCCTTACACCTGTCTATTGCCAGTCGAAAAAATTCAATTTGGTGTCAGCTAAGAGACCACCGACTAGACAGATTCAGATTAAATAAAGACGATGTCCAACAATTTAAATAGGAAAAACAAAAAATTCACTCAGGTATACGGGGTGGAATTTTTGAATAGAATAAATTCAGTACCTATTAGAAAGCCTGTTTACTTGCTAGAAAAAAAAAAAAAAAACGGGTACCTTTATTTTAAAGTTTGGCACACTTTTTCGACCTCCTCATGTAATTTAACCCTTTCTTAAGAGGCCTGGGTACCTCTGTGCGACGGGTTAAACTATGTCTTAATTTACGTCTAAAGTATTGGATCAAAATCAATGAAATTTGGTGGGATGATAGATGATGAATCACAGAAAAGTGGAATGTGATTTTTCATAGAAAAAAATAATTCTAAAAATTATGTCACCTCTCAAAAAAAAAAGATTGGAATATAAAATACTTCTCACATTTCTATGTTAAAATACTAACATTTTTTACCAATATAATTTTTTTGTTAAACGCGTAAATTTCTTGTGAAACATAAAAATAAAAAAAATGTATTATTTCGGACCAATTCATTAATCGCAACTACATATTCTATGGCATGGCAACACTGGGAACTGTCCCGCCAACCCCCGGCTGGCGCCTCGAAACCATCCAGGGAATAAAATATTATTTATTCTTATCTGAATAATTGTTTTGACTGGCCCGTGCCGTCGAAGAGTTTTTGCATTCCCTTTTGTGTTTTGGAAATAAAATGGGTAAATTTTCACTAAGGCCTGATAGGAAAAGATTACGTTTATCTACTAAACGTAAAAATCGACGACTTGCTATGAAAAAAAGGTAGGTGAAATGGTAGAAGATAATTATTACATTACCTATATAGGTAGTCTAATTGTAATAATTTCCAGAATTTTTATTCAACTATTTTCTGTAGGAAAATTAATTTGCAGTTATTAGTTTCTTCTGAGGACGGAAATAATTTGGGTGTTGAATTTACTTTGTCTCAATGGTAAAATGATATTTTAAAATCATAAACAATAAAGTACCTAGGTAAATATTTTTTATAAATTTTCAGCACCAATAACAATAATGACAATGACAATAATATTACTGATGCTGGTCCATCAAATTCAAAAGAAAACTCAATGGAGATAAATTCTGCGGAATCCACAAGGTAAATTTACTTCGTCACAAAAATATCAGATTTTTTTATTTGAAAAACAACAAGCATTATATCGTTTCTCTTAGAGCTGGTTTATTCACCTTCTGAATCTCTAGTCCTATTGGTCGGCCGACCAATAGGATTATAGATTGGTAAATTTATACTGCAGATATAACCAGCAAGTGTGTCTAAAGCCAATTAAACGGAGCCTTAGGCAAAGATAATTTGTATTTTGTGTTTTATAAAAAAAATAATAATGCATATAAATAGGTATAGGACGAAAAGGTCGGTACCTACTTACCTAATACTTATTTTTCAATCGTGTATTATTTTTTAGCAATTTATCGGATTTATCAGAATTTCAAGAAACTATTGAAGATAGTCAAGATAGACCTACTGTAAACTTAAATAATTCGAGGTATGTTTATTACAGAGAAATTAGAAACAAATGTTGTTACTTAAAAAGACAAGCTTTACCTATCAATTGTTTCTTTTAGGGTCAAATTATGGACCAACTGGTTGTTACCTAGCAGGCACCTACTTTCTATTCTCTAGTGCATAAAAAGTACCTGCTAGGTAACAACCAGACGTTTACCAGTCAGTCCCTAATTAGGCCCTTAGGGACGGTTTATTTTCCTTTCAATAAACTGTCAAATAATGCAATCTTACGGATAAAACGCAATCTGAAATTCCACTGGTCGGCTAGTTATCCACCGACCAATAGCATTGTAGATTGGTTAATTTATCTTGCAGATAGTTACCAGCAAGTTTATCCGAAGATGAATTAACCGGGCCTTAGTCAAAGATAATTTGTATATGTATTATAAAGATATTTAATAATGTATATAAATATAGGACGAAAAGGTTCCTACTTAAGCTTATTTTTCATTTCTGTATAATTTTTTAGCAATTTATGGGATTTATCAAAAATTCAAGAAACTATTGAAGATGAACCCTCTGTAAACTTAGATAATTCGAGGTATGTTTCTACATAATAGCAAATTCAAAGGCTACTTATTTACAAATTTTTACACAAACCATTTACAGGGTGTCCCAGAACTGGCACCACACCCATCAGATGCTTCTGTTCAGAGTCTTTCAGCAAAGACTGAACAAGGGGCTAATTTTTGTATTTTTGAAAAACCCCCAAAAAAGGAAATAATAAAATTTATTTTTTCCAAAAATATTAGGCATAAAAACTTTAGAGCAGTTAAGTTCTTTGGTGGAAGGAGTAAGAACATGGAGTTGGGAAATGGAGTCATTTTTTCCAGGTATTTTGAGATCCAAAATAATGACAGTATAGCTAATTCAATGCTTTACCTGTCATTTGGTGTACAAATACCTGCTAAAAACTGGCTTCACTTTAGTTTCATAGCAGAATGGCGCGTTCCTGCTCCTCATGTCCATAGGACAGCGCTTTACCTGCTCTAAGATAAAAACGGAAAACTTTGAATTGTACTTACATAATATGGACCTGACACGCGCGGCACCAGTTAGGGGACTCCATAATATGTTTATTTGCGAAACATTATTATTTATCCTCAAATGAAATTTTAGTTATGTAGGAGCTGACGCAATTGGTGGAAAAAGAATATTTGATGTTGCCCATCTTTTTCGCCAAATTCTAAATTCAGAGAGACACGCACTGTATGATTGCACTTTAGCTGATATGAAACTAGTTCGAGAAATAAGACATGGTCTACACAGTACATTTATCCTCGAGTGCAAAATGTGTTTATGTATTAGGCAAATCACTACTGTTGAAAAGTCTGATACAATAAACTCGAATTCAGCTATGGTATTGGGTGCCATTTCAACTGGGATAGGATATTCGCAAATAAATGAGCTTGCAGCTTCTCTCAATATGCCTTTTATGACATCAAAAACCTTTAATCGTTATCATGAATCTGTAGGCGGATATATCAGAGAATCACTATGTACATGCATGGAAAATGCCGCAGCCAAAGAAGCTGAGTTAGCTCTAGAAGAAGGCGACGTAGATGAGAACGGTATTCCATGTATCACAGTCGTTACTGATGGCGCTTGGGCTAAACGCTCTTACAATGTAAATTATGATTCTATGTCTGGTGTGGTAAGTAATTTCTCTTGAGATATCTGTGAATATATATATATATAATAAATATATATATTTTTTGTTGTTGATTTTTACGAACTTTTTTATCCTTTTTTATCGAGTGGAATATTTATTTTAGGCTTGTATAATAGGTTACAGAACGGGTAATCTTTTATTTCTTGGTATAAGAAATAAATATTGTTCATTATGTTTTTATTATGAAAATAAAGGGCAAGATATCCCTATACACAAATGTTACAAGAATTGGCAAGGAACATCAACATCTATGGAGACAGACATCATAGCAGAAGGTTTCAAAAACAGCATAAAACTGCATAAATTAAAATATACCAAAATGGTCGGAGATGGCGATTCCTCTGTATACAGAAAATTAATCCAAATAAAACCTTACGGAAACACATTGGTCCAAAAAGTTGAATGCAAAAATCATTTATTGCGGAATTTTGCTAAGAAAATTAGGGAAATATGCAGTATGTACTTATACCTACAGTTTTTAGATTAGATTAAATCTGGAACCCATTTACTATCTATGACCTATAAGCGTTGATATCAAATCAAATCAAATCAAAATATGCTTTATTGTCTAAGTAGATAAACTCTTATTGACAAAGCTGAATACTATAAATAGATATTAATATAAAAACAATATACAATAAATTAATAAAATTCACATACAATCAATAATAATAATAATACTAGTAATACTAACAACAATCCAGGACTCAGAACATGAATAAAAAAAAAATTCAAATATCGAACACATATTTTTTTTTTTTTTGAATGGAACAATACAAAAAAAAAAAAAAAAACCACCACACAGAAGTCGCAAAATTATCTAATTAACTGTGGAGAGCAGGGCAGGTTGAAATAAAAATAAAAACTAAAAACTAAAAAATAAAAAACTGAAAACTCAGGACAAAAACTTATTATTTAAAAGTCATCACAGTAAAATTCATGGAGACTATAATATGGCCTCGACATGAGAAATTGTTTTACACTTTTCTTGAAAAATTTATCATCCATCATCATTCTGTATACCAAAGGAATGTGGTTATACATTTTTATACTTTCAAATATAATTGAATTTTTGGTAAGTGTCGTCTTAGGAATAGGCAATGAAAGACCATTGCTACGAGTATTGTAAGGATTTGTTGAGGAGCAGTATTTGTGTTTTTTGTGTATCAGACACACTGTCTCCAAGATAAAGATACCTATTACTGTCAAAATCCTTCCATCAACAAATAATGGCTTGCAATGCTCTCTTGCTCTTACCTTAAATAGATAACGCACAGCCCGTTTTTGCAAAACAAGAATTGAGTTCATCAGCTGCTGGGTGCAGAACCCCCAAAACGCTATTCCGTACCTCAAATGAGATTCGATCAGTGAGTAGTAAACAGTTCGAGCCATGGGTAAACCCAATTCCCTGGAAACTATCTTCACTGCAAAACATCCTGCCGCCAGTTTCTTATTCAAAGATTGTACGTGTTCATTAAAATTCAGTTTATCATCAATAAACATGCCTAAAAACCTGGCAACAGGTCTGTTTTCTATAAAACTATTTTCAAAATTTAAATTGTCGCAAACAAATTTAAAACTTAGGATGCTAGTCTTTGATATATTGAAACATAAAGAATTTGCCCTACACCACTCATTTACCCTACCCAAATCGTTTTCGATAACCACCCTTAAATCATCAGCCTCTCCTCCATGCCACAAGATTGTTGCATCATCTGCGAATAGTGTGAATTTACCCTGAATGAGGATTTTCGACAAGTCATTGATGTATACAAGGAAAAGGAGTGGTCCGAGGACGGAACCCTGTGGGACGCCAGATTTCAAACTTGACACGTTGGAGCACTGACTCCCCACCTTTACCATTTGCTCTCTATCAGAAAGATATTTTGCCAATATATAATATAATATGTATTTATATAGGTTTCTATTTTAGACAAAAACCGAAGCAATAAAAATATAGCAGTTCCTATGGCTATACGAAAAGAAATTTTTAGCAAATTTATGCGACTAAGAACAGCGATTACAAAGGCCACTGCATATCGAATCTCAGAAAATAATACTATTGATGAAAAAATAAATTTATTGAGAGGAGATATAAGTAATTCTCCTAGTCACGTATTTGGTGAACATGCTAAATGCAAAGAATTAAATTACTTCAAATGTAATAATTTGAATGAAAAAAATTTAATTCCTGCTATGAAAGAATGTGGTATTTATGACGACATTATGCTGGCTTTACAGAGATTGCTGGATAATACGAGTAGCCTTATATTGAACATGGATAACAATTTGGCAGAACATTACAACAGTGTGGTTTGTAAGTTCGTCGGAGGTAAAAGAGTTAACTTCTCTCTTCGGGGTGCTTATCAAACTAGATGTGAGGCAGCAGCATTGTCGTTTAATTCTAAAGGGGATTACTACAGGAACATCTATAAAACTGCAACAGGTATAATGGGAGATAAATTTATTTTTTCTACTACCGTACGTAAAGTAGGTACTCACTTTACGCACTATTCAGAAGATGTAAAATTTCACTTCACGCACTAGTGCTTAAAGTAATTCACTTCACACACTAGTGCGTAAAGTAATGTTAATGACAGATGTCAACACTGTCAATTTGGCATTTTTCTGGTAAATTACTTCACGCACTAGTGCGTAAAGTGAAAATTCTTCACGCACTAGTGCGTAAAGTATTTGTCCAAATCTATTTTTTTACACATATTTGATTGGTAGTAGAAAAATTTTTGTATGCGATACGTGCGTAAAGCACCTTTCTTCACTCATGTGATTGTCGCACTGGCCTTCGACTCGTGCGTCAAAATTCACATTCGTGAAAAAGGGTTCACTTTACACACTTGTTGCATAAATAATTATTAAATTTTATTATAACATATTATCCAATCACTTTCCACAGGTAATAGTCCGTCATTTTATAGAAAAAAATATGTAGGATTGAAGAAAAAAATAGCATTAAAAGTGACACAAAAAAAAATATTTAAGAAAAAAACAAAAAAAAAATTGGAGCGGGAACTGACAAAGATTATGGACCAAATGCAAATTATATCCCTTTAGACGTCAAAAGCTGAAGATTTTCTTAATAATCTTAAGAAAACTGCAGAGGAGATCCACTGCATAGAAAGAAACACGATCGGGCAGTCAGCCAACCCCTGCTGGATCCAAGAAAGGGCGGTTAGGATAACAGCTTCAAATTTTGGTAAAATTTGCAAGATGTTTCCACAAACATCAAGAGCAACCCAAGCAGCACTCCGATGTTGGGCCAATATTGGGACAATAACTACGATTTATTGGCCCAAGTCAGATTCTCTATGTTGGCCAAATAAAAGATGTGGACATTCTGCAATATTTGTCCAAGAACGTATGTCAATATATACCCAAAAACAAATACCAACGTTGGTACAATAACGTAACCAAATGTTGGCCCAAAAAGAAATAATCAATATCATATCAAGAACTTTATGCAATATAGAGCCAATTGAAATTACCAATATTGGCCCGAAGACGTATGTAAATCTTGGCTTTATATTATATTTAATTAAGGTAACGGACCAATTATAAGGACCGACTGAGAAGTGTTTTCTCTCTGCCGGACCATCCGTGGACCCCTTTCGCTGTATCACAACTCATCAGCACGGTTAAGTCTCGCCAGAGAGAAAACAACCAATTTTTGGCTTCATTCCGGAACCAGGTTTAAGACAGGTAAAGTGAAGACAGAGTCTCCATCTATTTGTTGGTCGGCACACCAAGTGCGCACATTTTATACCCTATATTGGACTAACATTTTCAATTCAGAAAATCTAACCTTGGTAAAAATTAGTATGTAAATATTGGCTCTTAATTGGGCTTTTCAAAAAGTATCAATATTGTGAAAAAATTGAAAATAAATATTGGGTGTACAAAGTTTTTGAAGTGAATTTAAATATCAATAAAAAATTGAATGCCAATATTGAATTAATATTATATTACAATATTGTTTCGATAATATAAAATGTAATATTTGGCCAATATTTCATAAATCAATATTGTAGTGAGAAGTCTTGGGCCAATATTCAAATTATTGAAAAGTTAATTAATCTATGAAAACAATATTGGTACAAGATTATTTTTAAATATTGTTTCCACATAGGTAAAACTAACGTTGCCCCAATATTGGTACTGTGTTGATTTAGCAACAAAAATGAATAAATATTGGCCCAACTGAAACACGATGTTTACCCAATATTATGTGCTACTTGGGAACCACAGTGAAAACTTTGCTATATGGAAACTTTCCTGGTAATACAACCACAAGATACGGCAACGATAGTGAAGCACGCGCTATTGCTGAATTTGAAGACAAATATAAAGTCAAAATTTCTCAATGTAGATTGTTTATAGATAAGAAAAATTATTATTTAGGGGCTAGTCCGGATGGATTAATTGGTGATACCCAATTAATGGAAATAAAATGTCCATATTCCATCTGTAATATGAATCCAGCGGAAGCCATCAAAGAAAAAAAATTAGCATTTGCTGAATTCGTGGATAATGAATTTCACTTGAAACGGAATCATAACTATTACTACCAAATCCAGGGCCAACTGGCAATAGCTGATAAGCAGATGTGTTATTTTGTAGTTTGGAGTCCTCATGGGATGGTAGTAGAAGAGGTATCTTGCTATATTATCTTTTGTGGAACTTACTTATTTAAATAATTATTTTTTTATAGATTTTTCGAGACTTGCAATTCTGGAATGAAAAATGTATTCCTAAATTGAAATCCTTTTATGAAAATTTTGTTTTGCCAGAATTGATAGACCCCCTTTATCCAAAAGACCTGCCGATATGAGACGAAATTGTGTTCCGAGATGCTCTTCTTATTGACACCATATAACGGGGATAGTTACCAAACTCATCCAATGCAAAGCATTTTTTTACAGACGTCAAAAAATGACAACATTTTCACACTCATTTCTGTGCGAAAAATCCCACAATGGTTTTATTGGAAATTGAACGACAAAGTTTATTGATGAACTAGCGTATACCCAGGGTGCGCTACTACCCTAAAAAAAGAATTGCATTTTGTTAATTTTTTTATAATTTTTTTCATTTACCAAATAAATTCTCCGCCCTTGGTTATTCTATAATTTGAATATGGCTACGGTGCGCCAATGAACTTTTGCATGAATATTTTGAGACAGAGCCAGCCGAGCATCGCGGAGTCTCTGGCGAAGTGGCCGGCAGCTAGCGGTGTTGCCAAATTGTGTGTAAGTGTAACTCGTGAATTATAAAAGGCGCTGCGATCGAATCTCAATTACGCCAGAGGTACCCAGGCCTCTTAAGGTGCGGATTTCTTGTTGCTTGTCTAGAGCTAGACGATAACACCAAAGTCTGTATCTTAGTCAAATACTTTTCAGTATCTAAGATACTTTTGAGTATCCGAGATACTTTTTTGGCGTCTTAGATACTTTTTGGTATTTAAGATACTTTTTTAAGATACAAGTTACAGATCCTTTTGAAAAGTAACTAAGATACTCTAGCAACTAAGATACTTTCTTCTGACAGCTCTGGGTACTAGTGAAAACGATTAAAATTAAATTATTTTATTTATTTTTACTTCTCCCTGTAGTAAAGGAAATACATACATAGGTATTGTATTCCCGTAAAAAATCAACCTCAAGATTTTTTCACATTTATAGGTACGTTTTCAGGTCCTTACTATTACGAAAATCATGTTTTCTCAATTTCGTATGTCTGTCTGTCTGTTGACGCTCTAGTATCGTTCGCAGATATACAGAATGTCCCAAAAACTATGCGTCACTAACAAGACCGGTAAATGATACGAAGTTGATTAGGTATATTATATTAGCAAAAAGTAACCGTTCTTGGAGTTTAGTAGGCTGAGGCCTTTGCATTCAAAAATATTTTGTCGTACCGTACATTCTTAAAATTATTTATTATAAAAGAATACCTATAGTCTAAATGTGAAAGTTTTTTAAGTTAATCTGCTCTACAAGAAAGACTGGGACCGGAAATTTTGATATTTTTCGAAAAAAGGGTGGAATGATTTGCCGAGTGGAGTCATGGATTAAGGCTTCTGCCAATCTTTTTCTATTAAATTTTTTTGAAAAATAGAAGTTTCTTATTGTTTTATTCTTCAATAAATTCTAAATTAGATATATTTTTCATTTTGTTTTGTAAACTTTTGTATAAAATAGAATTTTTTTTTTGTCTCACATAAAACCCATTGTTTCATTTAAAATTGGCAGTAACTACATGAATATTTTTCAAAAATGCTGTGGCGACTTTTTATCCGGTCATTAGCGACTTATTCGTTTCTGACGTGGCAACACTGCAGATCGCAGAAACCCAAGGCAATTGGGAGCATTGGTTGCGTGAAATCCGCTACGTCCGCCAAACAAATTTGTACTAGTTAATTTGAATAGTTGTACTAAATTTTATTCTTTTGTACTAAATTTTATGCAGAAGTCCTTACCTTACACTAATTAAAACTATATTTTTTTGGTTTTAAAAATAAAGGCTACCTATCGTTTATTTAAAATATTTATAACATTATTGAGAAGGTTCCTTTTTCAGGTCTAAGAGTATATATGTTTTCAGAGTGAAGATCGAATTCTGTAGATAGTCTAGCCTTCAATTTTTTTCCTCAAAAGAAGTCAGATGGAACGTACCTACCTAAAGAGGGCGTTTCTAAAATTATCAACTAAAGTACAGGGTGGCCCGTTTAAGAGGGGCCTATAACTTATCTCGAAATCTACAAGGGCTGTATAAAAAACTTAAATAAAAAAGTTGTTTCTAATAAAATTATCTACAATTTTTTTGTATTGTTTTTGTTGTCACTCATACAAAAGGTGGACCAATTAAATTCCTTTTTTTTTAAAGGAACACCCTAAATTTTATTATATTTTTACATAGCTCTTTGAAAGACAAATCCAACGATTTTTCTTCCAATAGAAAATACCTTAATATTTATCTATGTTACACACCTACATTTAGGAAAAATCAATATTTAAAAACGCTGCGCGCACGCCTATGACAGGCAGCATAAAGCTCAAAATGAATAGCGTTATTCCCCCTTGCCCTTCAGACGTCGTAGTGCTAGACTCGTAAGGCGAACTATACTGGTCATGTGTCTGTGATATAGCGTGTTGAACTTATTAGCGATTATCATCAGGCTTTGGGGTAATTTGCAGTCATTGCTACGTTACTCATAAACTTTTAAAACTTTTTTTTGCATGATATTTTCTATAAAATAGTGGTCTTTTTCAGACTGTAATGAAATTTGAAATATTTGTTTGGAAAACGCGGTGCTGCCACGTTTCGCAAAATGTTACGCTTTTTATAAATGGGACCTCCTGCAAATTTTCGAGTTTTTAGATAGCCCTTTTGATAAAGACAAATTCAACGATATACTGGAAATAGGTCTACTGAAAAATTAGACATTTTTTTCCATTCAACGGGAATGACATGAGATATTGTGTTAGAACTGAAGATAAACGCTAATCAGGCCGAAACGGTGTATCACAGATCCATGTCCAGTATATCGTTAAATTTGTCTTTTAAAGGGCTATCCAAAAATTCGAAAATTTACAGGAGGTCCCATTTAAAAAAATTGAAAAGCGTGACATTTTGCAAAACGTGGCAACACCGCGTTTTTCAAACAAATATTTCAAATTCAAATACAATCTAAAAAAGAGCATTAATTTATAGAAAATATCATGCAAAAAAAGTTTTAAAAGTTTATCAGTTACGTAACAATGACTGTTGAAAATTACCCCAAATCCTGATGATAATCGCTAATAAGTTCGCAACGGTATATCATAGACACATGTCCAGTATATCGTTGAATTTGTCTTTCAAAAGGCTATGTAAAAGTTTATTAAAATACAGGGTGTTCCATTAAAAAAAAAAAATGTCCACCCTGTATATAGTAGAGTGACAACGAAAGCAATGCAAAATAATTTTAACAGAAACAGTTTTTGTATTATTTTTTTTTCTACAGCCCTTGTAGATTTCGAGATAAGGTATAGGCCCCTCTTAAACAGGCCACCCTGTACAAATTTTACATTGGAAGTTAAAATATTTCATTATTGTTACTTTTGAAAGTTTGTACAATAATAAAAATTAAATTTGATCAAAATGAGGTTGGTAGAATTTAATTTTGAGAGGACGACTTTCTCTCAAAATTAAATTCACAAATGAAGAATTATTTGACAGTACCGACAACCGACAACGTAACAAATTATAAATACCTAGATGGTAATAAAATAAAATTCGAAAATGTGAAAACTGTTTTCAACAAAAATAAAATGTTATGAACGAAACGACAGAATTGATTGATATTTTTATGTCGGATTGACTAGTAAAGTGCTATTTATATACGTCATGAAAGTTGGCAACGGAATCAGAAACGACAATCAAATTTTAACAATCGTCCAAATAAGTAGTGCAAATTAATATAATTATAAATAGTAGGTAATTATAAGCTTTGCTACGCTATGTAAGTCAAAATTTATAATATTTTATGTAAGAATAGGTACTACCAGAACTACTCTCTTTATAGATTAGACTTTGAAATTTCACGACCGAAGGGATAAATAAACTAAATTCAACCCTATTAAAGTCTATTGGAAATTGGAATAGATACATATGTACTTCTTAAAAAATCTTTGTAATACCAACAAACTTTTTTTTTGGAATACTCTTTGGAACGGTAAAAACAATAAAATAGCAAAATATAACTAGTGTGCGGCCGGATTGAAGGGGGTAGATTAGCGTAGCGTTAGCGGCGAGGGAGTAACATTCCGAGGGAATAATAGCCATTATTGCGAGTAGTATCTACTTTATTTACGACAAATTAATTTATTTTCAATTTTATTTCCAAAAACGCTCTTTGTTCCTCCATCTCAATACAAATACACAATCACTACGCGTTTGACAATGACACTTTTGAGTTTGTTCAGGTATATTGTTTCCATGGTACTACTTATTTAATTTGAGAAATTTTGTGATTGGTGGGCAAGCGGGAATAATGACCCCTTCGTCTTCCCGGGTGGGGTACAAATGTACCCCAGAAAACAATTTTTTTTTAGCATATTTTCCCGAAAAGTGCATATTTTTTGTGACTAATTTTATTTTGTGTTAGAAAGGGCTTTGCACATAATTAGTGATCATCAAAAATTTTCTATTTATTTATTTTTTAGAAATAATAATGTTTGCATAGCGTGGGGCACATGTACCCAATGACGTACCGCACATGAGAATCTGTGGCTACTCTATCAAGTAGTCACCTTGCAGGAAATTTGCAGGTTGGAAATAGATTTCCAACCTGCAAAATTTAGAAATCACGGTAATAAAGCTAATCAAGCAGTACCTGTGGAGCAGGAACAGTGGCGTAATCACAATGTTTCGGGCCCGTGTTCAAACATTTTACCGGGCCCCTACGCTTACGAGATGAAAAAAATGAGAAATGACAGAAATATATATATTTTTTAAATATACAGGGTGAACTTAAGGTATGGAACATATTCAATATGAAATAAATGAAGGCGTTTTCGAAAAATGCTCGCACACGTCGATTTTTGCTTGAGATCTTTCCACATTAATGTTTTCCTATTATGACATTTCTGGATGCGGCAGAAAATTCTATAGGTATTTCATATACAATAGGCCTTTTCGGAAACAATGATCCGATTAACCGGATTATCAGATGATATCTTTTGTCTTTTTTCAATTCTATTCATTAAAGGAAGATAAAGGCAAGGTAAGGGGTAACTTGATGACTTATCTGGGGTGCCGCTTATGGAGATTTGCATTATGTCTTTGCACCCCAGATGACGTCATGAGGTTATCAGGTAACCTACTTCTTTCAAACAACCTTGAGCAAAACAAAGCGCAATGCAGGGATTGCAAGATCTTGAGTTGGCATACCTGATATCAATCCTGGCATATTATGGAGTGATCGGCCGTACCAATGAATATTGAAGATATGCGACACGCGACAAGCGGTAAAATCGGAAAGTTTTTATAAAAGAATAAAAGAAATCATAAGTCAAATCAAAAAGTGAAACTTCTTAGGGTCGGTTTCTCAATAGAAAGTCACTTCCAGGTTGATTTTAACTCGAGTTAAGCTCAATTTATAAACTTGACGTCGGGATTCCGTTTGCGTTTGCGTTTGCGTCTATGAGATTTCTGATACTAGTGCAGCGAAATAGGGTGAA